TAAAACAGTAAGTTTGGCCTAATAAAAATACTAGAGAATGCCGGGCGCGGTGGCTCACGCCTGTAATCCCAGCACTTTGGGAGGCCAAGGCGGGTGGATCACAAGGTCATGAGATCGAGACCATCCTGGCTAACACAGTGAAACCCCGTCTCTACTAAAAATAAAAAAAAAATAGCCGGGGGTGGTGGCAGGCGCCTGCAATCCCAGCTACTCGGGAGGCTGAGGCAGGAGAATGGCGTGAATCCGGGAGGCGGAGTTTGCAGTGAGCTGACATCGCGCCACTGCACTCCAGCCTGGGCGACAGAGCGAGACTCTGTCTCAAAAACAAAAACAAACAAACAAACAAAAAACAAACAAACAAAAAACTAGAGAATACACATTATTTTCAATTATTTAAAGAATATTTATAAAAACTGACTGTGTACTAGGCTGTAAAACCAATCTCAACAAATAGAGAAGACTCAAACTCATACAGATTTCCCAGGACCATAATGCAATTTAGTTAGAAATCTTGCCAGGCATGGTGGCTCACGCCTATAATCCCAGCACTTTGGGAGGCTGAGTCGGGCAGATCACTTGAGGTAAGGAGTTTGAGACCAGCATGGCCAACATGGTAAGACCCTGTCTCTCCTAAAAATACACACAAAAAATTATCCGGATGTGGTGGCGCACATCTGTAATCCCAGGACTAGGGAGGCTGGGGCAGGAGAATCGCTTGAACCAGGGAGGCAGAGGTTGCAGGGAACCGAGATAGTGCCATTGCACTCCAGCCTGGATGACAGAATGAGACTACGTCTCTGAAAAAAAAATAAATAAATAAATAAATAAAAATAAATGAATAAATAAAAATCTGTAACAAAAGTTGAAATATGCCATGTGTTTAGAAATTTAAAACCATGCCTCTAAATTAATCATAGGTGAAAGATTAAACTGTAAAAGAAAGGACAAATATCTGGAAATAGACATCATTAATAATACCACATACCAAAATATGTGGGAAACAGAGAAAACAGTACTTAAGTGGGAAGTCTATAATCTTAATGTTTATACTGGAAAAGAAGAAAGACTGAAGTAAGCATCTAAAGAAAGAACTTTTTAAAAGGGTAATGGAATAAATCCAAAGGTAATGATAGAAGGAGAAGGAGGGGAATGGGGGTGGTGGGGGAAGAAGTTAAATAAAATAGAAAATAAAAATAGAAAAGGGAGGCTCCACAAAGATGAAATCTGATACTAGTAACAATGATTTTAAGGCTGGGCACAGTGGTTCATGCCCACAATCCTAATACTTTAGGAGGCTGAGGCTTAGGCCAGCCTGGGCAACATAGTGAGATTCCATCTCTATATACAAAAAATAGTAATATAATAAAATAAGCATAAATAATTTATTAAAAAACATGTCCAGAAAAAAAGAAAAAATATAAAAAAAGTATTAGGAGTAAATAGGGGAGATATAACATATGCAGCAAAAATTAAGGTGAGAACATATTATGGGCAACTTTTTGCCAATAAATTTGAAAATTTATGATGAAACAGATATATTGCTACAAAAAGATAACCCACTAGGATTAACCCAGAAGTAGACAATAAAATATGGAATTTTAACTGATTTACGCAAAGCAGTATCATCAAACATTTAAGGGATAGCAAATTTAATTTTACATATATTATTTCAGAAACAAGAATAAACACTCCAAAACTCATAAGTAATGCAAAGTAGAACAGACAAGAAAGGAAAAGTATAGAACAATTTCAACGAATACAGACCATTTCAATGAAAAATCTTAAATAAAATATTAACAAATTCAGCTACGCATAAAAACATAATACATCATAATCTAGTTGAATTTGTCCCAGGAACACTAATTTGGCTCAATGTAAAAAAAATTGATTAATGTAATTGACTACGTTAATGAATTAAAGGAAGCAGAACAAATATTTAATGATATTCAATAATAAGTCAAGCTTAAAAAAAAGCTCTTGGCAACACAGGAAAAGGAAAATTGTTTAACCAATAAAGAGTATATTAAAATCATTCTTGGCTGGGCGCAGTGGCTCACGCCTGTAATCCCAGCACTTCGGGGGGCCGAGGCGGGTGGATCACCTGAGGTCAGGAGTTTGAGACCAGCCTGGACAACATGGTGAGACCCCATTTCTACCAACAACACAAAAAATTAGCTGGGTGTGGTGATGTCTGTAATCCCAGCAACTTGGGAGGCTGAAGCAGGAGAATCGCTTGAACCCAGGAGGTGGAGGTTGCAGTGAGCTGAGATTGTGCTATTGCACTCCAGCCTGGGCAACAAGAGTAAAACTTCATCTCAAAAAAAAAAAAAAAAGAATCATTCTTAATGGGGAACCTTTTGAAGCCCTCTCTTTGCAATCAGAAACAAGCTGAGGAAGTCCACAATGATGACTCAGCAGAACAGAGGGCATAACCAGCAGAATTAAGATAAGAAAAAATAAACAAAAGGCATGAAGATTGGAAAAGAAATGCAAGTATCATTACTTGCTGCTGCTATGACCATCTCTACAGAAAAAAACAGAACACAAACGAAATGACAGTTTAGAGGCCGAGTGCTTTTTTTTGAGACAGGGTCTGGCTCTGTCATCCAGGCTGGAGTGCAGCAGCAGGACTGTGGTTTACTGCAAACTCTGCCTCCCAGGACCAAGCGATCCTCCCACCTTGGCCTCTGGAGTAGCTGGGGACCACAGACATGGGCCACCATGCCCCACTAATTTTTCTGTATTTTTTGTAGAGGCAGGGTCTCACCATGTTGCCCAGGCTGGACTTGAACTCCTGGACTCAAACAATCTGCTCACCTTGGCCTCCCAAAGTGCTGGGATTACAGGCATGAGCCAACACACCCCACAAAAAAAAAAAAATTATTAATTTAAAGACAGGGTCATTAGCAGGGTGTGGTGGGCTCCTGTAGTCCCAGCTACTCAGGAGGCTGAGGCAGGAGGATCACTTGAGCCCTGAAGGTAGAGGTTGTTGTGCGCTAAGATCACACCACTGCACTCCAGCCTGGGCGACAGAGCGAGACTCCATCTCAAAAAAATAATAAAATTAAAAATAAAAATAAATAAACATAAAAAATAAAATAAAAATAGAGACCGTATCTCACTATCTCTTAAATATATACATATATACTTCTTTTAGCACACACACACGTACATATATATATATATATATGAAAGATACACTGATTTACCTCACTCAACATAAAATATCTTTTTAAACTTTGGGCTAATCTAACTTATTTTAATTGAATAACATTTTAAATATTTAACTTTAGCAGCAAATTAATGTCTTTTGGTAAAGTAAGTATCTCCACTTTGAGATCAAATACAGATATTGAGAACTCTTCCCTGCCCCTGAGATGGGTCTCGTTACGTTGCCCAGTCTGGACTTGAACTCTTGGGCTCAAGCAATCCTCTTGCTTCAGCCTCCTGAGTAGCTGAGTCTAGGGGTGTGTGCCACAGCACCTGGCAAGAATATGTATTTTAATATATTCAATAATTTTAGAGAAAGACATACTAATACTAATGTATACCTAGTCTTTAAGCAAGGAATTTGGCAGAATTGGGCAAATAATAATTCACACCATTTCCCAACTAAACTCATCTCTAACTGATCTGTCAAAAGCTCAACAACAAATCTATGAAAACTTAGTGCTTTCACCCACATACAGCATGAGGCTATGAATGCCCGAACAGCCATGGGCATCACGAATGAATCCCTGTTATGTAAAAGCCTAATTTTGTTTACACTGTATTGATGACTTTTATAAAAATAAAATTCAGCTTCTAGGGAAAAAACACATATTGAGCCACAGTGAGAAACAGTATACGTTTTATAATATTTCTAATTGGCAATACAAGTCCATTTAGAGAAAAGCTTTTGAGAGGACTGAAATATGCAAGCCTTCAATGACAACCTCACTGTTATCAACCAGGAGGAATCAATTAGAAGTCAGACAAGCAGTGAGACTCTCGCTCTAAAGAAACCATTATAAGCAGCCAAGCTCTTCCAGATGGCCCTGTCCTGTCTCCTCCGGCTCTCAAGAAATCGACTTTCTCTTTGAAAAGCCATTAACAGCCACAACCTTCTGGAACGTTGTTCCCAGATTGCTCATGGTCTAAGTCTCCACTTTATCGCCCTGGTGACTCAACAGATAAACGCCTCAAATCCTAACACCGAAGATTCCCCACACTTGAGCTTCTGGTCCCCACAAAGGTTGACACAAAACGAAAATGATTCCCCGTGTAGTGCCTTCTGTGGCTACATCAGAAATGGGAACCTGGGGATGGGCAGTCAGTGATGAACACTCACAGGGGAAATGAAAGACACACTTGAACTTTCCTTTTTCTTTTTTTTTTTTTGGAGATAGTTTCGCTTTTATTACCCATGCTGGAGTGCAGTGGCGTGATCTTGGCTCACTGCAGCCAACGCCTCCCAGGCTCAAGCGATTCTCCTGCCTCAGCCTCCCTAGTAGCTGTGATTATAGGTGCCTGCCACCGCACTTGGCTAATTTTTGTGTTTTTAGTAGAGATGGGGTTTCACCATCTTGGCCAGGCTGGTCTCGAACTCCTGGCCTCAGATGATCTGTTCACCTCAGCCTCCCAAAGTGCTGGGATTGGCTGGGCGCGGTGGCTCAAGCCTGTAATCCCAGCACTTTGGGAGGCCGAGGCGGGTGGATCACGAGGTCAGGAGATCGAGACTATCCTGGCTAACATGGTGAAACCCCGTCTCTACTAAAAATACAAAAAACTAGCCGGGCGTGGTGGCGGGCGCCTGTAGTCTCAGCTACTTGGGAGGCTGAGGCGGGAGAATGGCGTGAACCCGGGAGGCGGAGCTTGCAGTGAGCCGAGATCACGCCACTGCACTCCAGCCTGGGAGACACAGCGAGACTCCGTCTCAAAAAAAAAAAAAAAAAAACCAAAGTGCTGGGATTACAGGCGAGAGCCACTGTGCCTGGCCCACACTTGAGCTTTCATCTCACCTTTTCAACATCCGCTTTTGTGACATTGATGTCAGCATCCATTTTCTCAAAGTACTGCTGCGCCCTGTCCGCCTCTTTGCAATCGCGTTCAAATCGCCTTTTACTCTAAAATCAGAGGAAAATAATTATGAAACCACAAGAGTCCTACGAGAAGACGTAATTTTATCTACAGCTCCCAAAGAGCATTGTTCTTTTTCTTCTTCTTCTTTTTGTTTTCTTGAGTGAGGGTCTCACTTTGTCACCCAGGCTGCAGTGCAGTGGCACCATCTCGGCTCACCGCAGCCTTGACCTTCCTGGCTCAGTTGATCTTCCCACCTCAGCCTCACTAGCTGCTGTGACTACAGGCATGCACCACCATGCCCGGCTTACTTTTGCATTTTTTGTAGAGACTAGGTTTTGTCATGTTGCCCATGCTGGTCTTGAACTTCTGAGCTCAAGCGATCCTCCCGCCTCCGCCTCCCAAATTGCTGGGATTATAGGCGTGAGCCAACATGTCTGGCCCAAGAACTTCTCTGAATTTATTTTTTTATATGTCATAATTTCCAGAAGTTATTTTAAAATCTGCATTTGTTTCTATCAAAACTGTCTAATCTTTATTATTTCCACGTGACTTTTAGAAAAATACTCAACTTGAGCCCTTTTGGCTCAACTTTAGATAGTGGTCCTAGAAACAAACGAGAAAAATCTATAAAGGTGTTTTGTTAGTGTCTATGTGTGCATGTTTTTTACTTACTCATTGATTCAAGCTTAAATTAAATTGAAATTGGAAAATCTATAAAGACATTTCTTAGGCTGGGCACAGTGGCTCACGCCTGTAATCCTAGAACTTTGGGAGGCCGAGGTGGGCGAATCACTTCATGGCAGGAGTTCAAGACCACCCTGGCCAACATGACAAAACCCCATCTCTACCAAAAATACAAAAATTAGCTGGGCGCGGTGGCATGTGCCTGTAATCTCAGCTACTCGGGAGGCTGAGGCAGGAGAATCACTTGAACCCGGGAAGTGGAGGTTGCAGTGAGCCAAGATCGCGCCATTGCACTCCAGCCTGGGCAACAGAGGGAGGCTCCGTCTCAAAAAAAGAAAAAAAAAAATCTATAAAGCCATTTATTTTGCTGTGCATTGTTCACTTACGGATTCAAGCTGCTTCCAGCAAGTCTCGATGTGCTGCTGTGCTTTCCGGCCATCGTGAAAGTTCTGCAAAGGGGAAATACACGGCGATTAGTACCCTCTGCTTCTCTTACGAACCCAGGAGGAAACATTTTCATCCACTTCAACAACATCTAAATATTGAACCTCTAGTATGTATGCTCCAGATAAATTTAAGAGTTTAAAGGGGTAGCCGGGTGCGGTGGCTCACATCTGTAATCCCAGAACTCTGGGAGCCTGAGGCAGGAGAATCACTTGAGCGAAGGAGTTCGAGACAGCCTGGGCAACACAGTGAGACCCCCTCTCTACAAAAATTAGAAAAATTAGCTGGATGTGGTGGCACACACCGATAGTCCCAGCTACTCTGGAGGCTGAGGTGGGAGGATCACCTAAGTCCAGGGAGGTTGAAACTGCCACATCGAGCTGTGATTGCGCCACTGTACTCCAGCCTGGATGACACAGTGAAACCCTGCCTCAAAAAAAAAAAAAAAAAAAAGAAAGAAAAAGGGAATAAAAAGTTTAATGAGGAAATGAAAACAAGAGTAGTCATCACAGATGAACCAAGTTTCACTTGGGGGAAAAAAAAGCAGTCACAGAGTTCCCTTTACAGCTCTAGGTACAACTGTATAAAATTTGAAGACTGGCCAGGCATGGTAGTGCCCACGCCTGAAGTCAGTTACTTGGGAGGCTGAGGTTGGAGGCTCACCTAAGCCTGGGAGGTTGAGGCTGCAGTGAGCTGTGATCGTGCCACCGCACTCCAGCCTGAGTGACAGAATGAGACCCCATCTCAAAAAAATAAAATAGGCTGGACGGTGGCTAACGCCTGTAATCCCAGCACTTTGGGAGGCTGAAGTGGGCAGATCATGAGGTCGGGAGTTCGAGACCAGCCAGGCCAACATGGTGAAATCCCATCTCTACTAAAAATACAAAAATTAGCCAGTGGTACGCACCTGTAATCCCAGCTACTTGGGAGGTTGAGGCAGGAGAATTGCTTGAACCTGGGGGGCAGAGGTTGCAGTGAGCCAAGATCGTGCCACTGCACTCCAGCTCTGGGCTACAGAGCAAGACTCCATCTCAAAAAATAAATAATAAATAAATAAAATAAAATGTGAAGACATATATGCCACTTGGAAAAACGACAGGAATGTTTTATTAAGACAGCAATCACTTTGATCATCTTTTTTAACTGCTTTGAGATAGGATTCAGATATTATCTGATTTACTCATTTAAACTGAGCAATTCAATGGTTTTTAGCAGTCACAAAACTGTACAACCATCAACACAACCAATTTTAGAATATTTTCATCACCCCTAAAAGAAACCTGTACCCCCTAGCCGTCACCCTCCATCTTCCTTAGTCCTAGGCAGCCTGTTTCTGTCTGTGGATGTTTATTCTAGATGTTTCCTATGAATGGAAACACGGTCTGAGGCCTTTGGTAACTGGGATGTGTTCATTATCTCCTAATGTCCACTTCGCATGATTTCAAGGTCCACATTGTCACATGTATCAGTACTTCATTCCTGTTTATTGCCAAATGATTATTCCATTATGTGGCTATCCCACATTTTGTTTGCCCATTCAACAGCTGACAGACTTCTGGGTTGCTTCCAGGTTTGGGCTATTATGAAAAATGCGGCCGGGCCAGCACTTTGGGAGGCAGAGGTAGGCGGATCATGAGGTTAGGAGTTCGAGACCAGCCTGGCCAACATGGTGAAACCCCGTCTCTACTAAAAATACAAAAACTAGCCAGGCGTGGTGGTGCACACCTGTAATCTCAGCTATTCTGGAGGCTGAGGCAGGAGAATTGTTTAAAACCTAGGGGGCTGGAGGTTGCAGTGAGCTGAGATCGCACCACTGCACTCCAGCCTGGGCGACAGAGCAAGACTCCGTCTTGCAAAAAAACAAACAAACAAACAAAAGAAAAAGAAAAATGCTGCTACAAACACTTGAGTAAGAGTTTTGTGTGTTTTGTGTGCCTGGCTGTTTTCATTATTAGATTATTTTAAAACTAAAGATAAATTTCCCTCCTTGCCATCTGCAAAGGCCCTGAGGCAGGCTCTGGTGTGCTGTTAACCTGGGGGCTAGATCTGGAGGAGCCTCAGGGAGAATATCATATGAGGTCAGAGAAGTAAGAGGGAGTTGCATAGGGTCTTGTAGGCCTTTTTGTCTGAATGAACCAGAGTTGATGAGTAACTCTAAGATGTTGTGAAGGGAAGAATTCAGATGCTGAGAGGCTGTTGTAACATCCTGGAGATTACTGCAATTTGGACAAGTCGGACGTAATGAGCAGTGCAGGCAGTGAGAGGGGTCAGGTTCTGGGTGCCTTTTGATCACCCAAACCTCCAGGATTTTCTGGGAGATAAGATCAGATGTGCAATAATGAGCTGCCCAGGGTGACTCTGAAGTTGTCGGTCTGAGCTTTAGGCGAGGGAAGACAGAGAGAAGTGGGTCTGAGGAGGGAAGATCATACATGTAGTTTCACATGTATTAAGGCTGATATTTCTATGAGACTCCCAAGAAGAGAGATTAGCCGGGCGCGGTGGCTCATGCCTGCAATCCCATCACTTTGGGAGGCCGAGGTGAGCGAACCACCAAAGGTCAGGAGTTCGAGACCAGCCTGGGCAACATGGTGAAACCCCGTCTCTACTAAAAATACAAAAATTAGCCAGGCATGGTGGTGCATGCCTGTAATCCCAGCTACTCGGGAGGCTGAAGCAGGAGAATCACTTGAACCAGGAGGCAGAGGTTGCAGTGAGCCGAGATGGCACCATTGTACTCCAGCCTGGGTGACAGACACAGACTCCATCTCAAAAAAACCCCGAAAAACAAACAAAGAAACAAAAAACCAAGCAGAGAGACTAATATGTACTTGGACTTGTGGATCTGAGCTCAGGGAGCGGTCTGTACTAAAGACCGGATTGGGAGTCTTCAGTATAAAGAGGGTAGTTAAAGCCAAGAGACCAAAGAATACAAAGATCCCAAGGAAGGAAGTGCTGAAATATGCAGAAATGTTAAGAGAACGGTGTTGTTTTTTTTGTTCAGTGACCTAAAATCACCAGTTCCCTAAATCCTTTATATTTTTTATTTTTTGAGACGGAGTCTTGCTGTGTTGCCCAGGCTGGAGGGCAGTGGCGTGATCTCGGTTCACTGTGACGTCTGCCTCCCTGTGACCTCTGCCTCCCGGGTTCAAGTGATTCTCCTGCCTCAGCCTCCCTGGTAGCTGGGATTACAGGTGCAACCCACCATGCCCAGATAATTTTTTGTATTTGTAGTAGAGACAGGGTTTCACCATGTTGGCCAGGCTGGTCTTGAACCCCTGGCCTCAAGTAATCCGCCTGCCTCAGCCTCCCAAAGTGCTGGGATTACAGGTGTGAGCCACCATGCCCAGCCCCTAAATCTTTTAGTATCCTTCCACTGCACCACCCTTGACTTGGTCAATGTCCTGCAAATTTCCCAGGTACATTCTCCACCTTCTCTGGGTCCCCAGAGACTGACATGCAGGGATCTCCTGAACGCTTGCCCTCTGGTTCTGATGAGATTTGCCACAAGGAGGTTCTGGGTGATCAGAGGGCAGGAAACTGTACCTGCGGCTTCTCCTCACTGAGATGATACAGGTTGGCTGGGTCCTTGGACCAAAGGGCAAGTGCCCCGCATGCAGCTAATCTCTGGAGTTCCTAATCTGTGAAATTCCTGGAAGGCTCCTCCAGCCCTGTGAGGCCTGGGGGCGACATCAGCTCCCCATGTGACTAGCTCCAGGGCACTGCACCATCCTTACTGCTTTTCCTAGACTCTATTTGTCATGTTGTAAACGCTCCTTTTAATCACCGACCTTCCTTGAATTACTGAGTGTGAATGTGCTGTCTGTTTTCTGGCTCACAAGGTAAGCACTGGTGTTAGAGGCGCACTATGGAGAAGGTCAGGTAAAGGAAGGATAAAAACAAAGAGGTCCGCTAGGTACAACCTCAGAGCTTTTCCCGCACCTCGTCAGAACCTAGGACTTAGCCGAGTCAGAAAAGAGAGCTGACAACTGGAAAGGCTGGGAAGGCAGAGACAACATCAGATTTAGAACAGTGCTCCTTTATAAGGGAATGTTTTCTTGTCTCTCTTTTGAGGTCGAGTTTCACTGTTTTAAGCGCCTCTTTGCAGTCAGTTTTATCTATCCAGCATTTTTTTGGTCTCTGCAAACCCACGGGGAGCCCTTCGGGCTTCGTTTTTCAACTCTTGTAATGGACACAAGGATAGAACAGAAAAGAAGGGATCCAGGCTGTGGGAGAATTAAGAAGCAGAGCTGAGGGCAGGCTTAAGGAAACTCTGGACCTTGGTGGAGAACGTGTAGAAAATGCAAGTAGGTTTTCTGAAAGCCACACTTTCAGGGAGGACTCCCCAGGAGACCAGAGCGTCCATTTCAAACCACCTGGGCTCAACTGTGCCCTTTCTGGAAGGCACCTCTGGTCCTGAAAGTCTTTATCGGGTGACTTCTCTGCCAAGAGGAGGATCCCCATTTCCCTAGCCGGAGCACCGAGTTATGCAGTTTGCTGAAGAAATGCAGCCGCCCCCAAAGGTTTTACTTTGAGATTCAAAGACAGGCACAAAAAGAAAGAGAAAACCCCAGCACCAATTCAGAGTTGTACTCGGGGTTGACGGTCTCTCTCTCCAGCAATTCTGAAAGTGAATGTTTTAACAAAGTGAAAGCTCCCTCCAGCTTGGGGAAATGCTGTGGGTGGAGAGAGGAAATGCACAGAAGCCCAGCAGACAATGACAGGCATTGCCTGGGGCATGTCACCTCGACTTTCATATAAAAGAAATCTTCTCTTAAGACAAGAGTCTTAAAAAAAAAAAAGTCATATTTTAAAAACACGAGGGATGATTTTGATTGAAAAAATCCATAGAGTAATTCTCTTGCCACTCCTTAGTTCAAATGTAGAATAAATAATGCATTTGTGTTTAAGGCACGGTGCGCACCTTGAATTTACTGGTAAGTTATCTCTCATGAAGACTCCTCAGTCACACCTCTCCCCGTATTATTAAACCACTACCTGAAAACTG